GAACCACTACTTTATATTTCTGTTATATATATATATATATATATATATATATATATATATATATATATATAATTGAATCATTTGAGTGGATATTCTTATGACCATTATTAACTGGTATTTATTTTATAATGAGTGCGTTCTGTATCAACTGAGAGAGAGAGAGAGAGAGAGAGAGAGAGAGAGAGAGAGAGGGGTGTTAAAACAAACAGAATAAGTATCACAAATTGCAATTATAATTTTGGCTACAAATTCTTCCACGCATATTAAAATAATTTACGACTTGTGAAGATTCTCCATTTCAAGTATAAGTTTAATCAGGTTTATATATATTACTCTTCTTTAGCCAATAAAAGACCAATGAATCACTCAAGGTAATGGTTTCATGAATTGGATGTTGTAAGGACAGATATTGAAGGCTTATAGTTCATATATTATGACGATATGTAGGACAACTGTTCAACCTAGAGAGGTTAAGATTTTAGTAATTAGAGAATCATCTGCTCAGGTGTCCGCTGCATATTTTTTTTTTTTTTTAATCTTGTTTACCCCAAGCAAGGCAGTAAATCTACCGAGACGAAAGAAGTGTGGAAGATTTAGAAACAGGAAGCGAGGAGCAGGAAATGTAATCAGTAGGGAAATAGATAACTATTGAGTTTGCATTTAAATTTTTGTTGTTGGTTTGAAATCATGAAGCCGGAATGGAGATCTACAAGCAAGACGAGTGAAAACAGAAACTGGTAGAATAGAAATGACCGTTACATCTAGTCAGCTCAACTGTCCATTCCTAAGAACTCTTCACCAGTCTAGTACAACGCTTAGATTCGAAGAATCTAGGAGCCATAATGATGAGATCATCCGATCAATTACCATGAAATTATTTATGGAAAAGGCAACCATGAAAACATTACGGCGGCAGGAAACTTCATGAAGCTGAGATGCCAGATCGGGACCAGTAATATTGCTGATTCATCTTTGGATTTTATCAAGATTAATGATATAAAGATAGATAGTAGAAGAATCAGACTATATCGGACAGCAATATTCTAAGCATGGTCGAATGATAGACTCTGAAGATACAAAAAAACACACTATAACGACACAGTGTACCAAATTTCTTGGCAGGTGTCCTAGCATTGGATTGAATATAGTCTTCCCACTACATGTCAACCAATAACGTTAGCCCGAAAATGTTAGCCCAAGAAGGCGAAGCGTGACACTCTCCTGGAGGTTAGCAGCAATCTTGCTGATGAAGGAAGAGATGGTTCTCTCATATGATGAATAGAGAGCAGTTTAATTTTGGAAGCGTTAAAATTGACATGACATACTTTACTCCAGTTAACACTAGATTGAAAGACGTTTTGGACATCAACCGACAGTTTAATCTTATCAAACTGATCAGATTTACTATCGTGACAGGAGTAAATGGTTGAGCCATCAGCATATGTGCCAAGATTAATGTTGATCCCATCGGCGAGGACATTAATGAAAATCAAATACAAAGTAGAACCAAGGATTGAGCCCTGGGGGACACCTGCAGTAATAAGAAATTTCAAAAAATTATCCAGAGATTTATAATGTATGAGTAATTAATTTCTTTACCTGATCTCATATTGCAATTTTGTTTTTATAATTGCTTCTCTCTAGAAATCCGTATTACTGGTTCCCACTGCTACCAGCTGACAAAAGTAATGCGATTGTTGTGATGGACAGATTGGAATATACAGGAAGGCTAGAAGAACTCATTAGAAATGGTAGCTACAGTAAAGTACAGAAATATCCAACCATGAAAACAAGTAAAATGTCGCAGATTCTAATCAAGAACAAGGACTACTTCGCATTTATAACATACTGGGAGTTGTAGCTTTACACCAAGCTACCTCACATATGCGGTCTCCCCAAAATTCACAAAGACGGTATTTGACCAATTATTAGCTGCCAAGGCTTTGTATGCCACCCTCTAAATCGATTCCTTGTAGATATAATTGATATATTAATAGGAAAGCCACATTCATATGCCCGAAAATACGCCCACAATGTAAATCAAAGATGTTCCCATCCAAAACCAACCAGATGGTGGACCTGGACTCTGTGAGTTTGTTCTCGATGGTACCCACAGAGGAGGCACTATCGATAGTGAAGGACTGATTGGCTCCGGACGCATCCCTAAGTGAACGGACCAATATACCAATAGATAACGTGATGGAGATATTGACTTTCTCTACACAAACAACAAACTTCGGTATGGGATCAGACATATATCGACAGGTTGAAGGCTTAGCAATGGGCTCGCCATTATCACCAGCAATTGAACACATAATACATGGTTTATTTTCAAAAAATGGCATTAGAATCCACATCACTAAAGCAAAATCTATGGCTTAGATATGTAGATGATACCTTCATACTCTAGCCACAACAGGAAGAGGTCCAGTTAATACTAAACCATGTGAACTGATTACGATTATCGATACCGTTCACAATGGAGCGAGAAAATGGCGAAAAAAACTCGTCTCCTTGTGTGTACTAATAATCTCGAACAGAGAATGGGTTCAGATCATCCGTATAACGCAAGCCAACATTCACTTGACAATACCTCAACTTCAACACTTGTCACCCATATAGTTTAAAGTAAGGGATCGTCTGCTGCCTACAACATCGAGCAAAAGACATTAGTGGCGACTCAGAGATATATGATCAAGAAATTATCAGTATGAGCCTTACACTACGACATAACAACTACCCTGAGTACATAGCAGCAGCTCTGGAAAACTATGATGGAATGGTACAAGAGTATAACAGCAATTAGAATCCCGATAATCCCTTCGCAGGCACTTCAAAAGTGGTTAGCAACTTAGCAGACACCTCATCCGATAAGACCACCGCTATAGAGGAGAACATGATTAAGGGCTGCATGTAGTAAGAAATATAAAGGAGAATTAGGTTGTTCCCTTAAAGGGTTAAGACTGCAAAAACAACGTAAAGTCGTAATACGAGGAGAAATAGAAAAATTCGGCGTATTTGACCACATATGGAGGGTAAATATCACCGACTCCTCTGTGGGTTGAGGTTTAAATAACAGGCAGAGAAGATCATTGGAAAACACGAAGACTTAAGTGATCAACACATATACTAGGTCTCAAAATCTAACAAGCCGGAAATGAACAGAGTATAGGGACCAGTAATATGGAGTGCTAGAGAAAAGCAATAATAACAAAAAAAATTGCAATATGTGATCCAGTGAAAATGAATGCTGAGACATTAAGATTATAAATCTCTAAAATCCGAAAAAAAAATATACACTGATGTCTTAACGCATGGCCCATTGGCAAAAAAAGTTCGGTTGGATCCAGTGACACAAAGATTTGTGAGATCAATGTCTGGATACGTCAGTTGTAAACAAAACAAAAAAAGGATAAGACAAAAGAGGCATGACACGTGGAACTAGAACAATCAATCTTGGTTGACAAAATTCCAATTACCTGAAGAAGGCTGAACAAATATGGACAGTAGTCAAAACCATGTAAATAATATCATATATATATATATATATATATATATATATATATATATATATATATATATATATATATATATATGAGAATATTTCCATTATATATATATATATATATATATATATATATATATATATATATATATATATATAACCTGAATGATGTGTTTTGTTTTATTTTTCTACGGTTTGAACATAAACTTTCAAAGAAATTTTCAATGAGTTTTACATTTTTCTGTCAGAGCTGTGTTTGTATACATTAAATGTATTTTTCTTCCATTTCGTCACGTATCTTTGTACATCGTATCTTTGGCAAGCATCGTATTATTTTATTATTAATGGTAGATTAAAAATAAAACAAAAATAAAATGACTATATTTATGAAGAAATCTTTTATCTATATCTCAGATAGAATGTTTGTTGGTACAAATGTGTGGTCATAAACTTCAACACGGTTAGCAATGTTTTATTCATTTTTATACAGACACAATACGTAATATACAATGTAATGTTCAAACAAATATTATTTTGTCGTTCACTAGAAATTGGTAAAATCTTAAAGGTTAATTTAACTAAAAAACGTTTCCACGTTCAATATTTCAGAACGAAACCATTAAACGGATATTATAGAATGAATCTGTCTGGACTTTCAATTAAGAATTATCGTTATTATTGATAGAGTTAGTAAATAGAAGAATTTGGCTAGTAACAAAGAAAAGAATGGTAAACAGCTATGTAATATCAATCATATTTTACATAATTGAGTATTAGACAATTTTCTCACCGATAAAGAAGGTATTACGGCAATTAAGATGTAGTTGTCCTGATGGATGCTGAGAATACCATGGACTGGCCATGTAAGTAACAAAGAAATTCATATTCGCTGAAACTTGTATCTTATATCATACCAAGAACCGTTGGATAAGCGAATTCAGTTATTTAGCTGCCCATAATTCAGTCCGTATCTCGGATAATGTAAAATTCGAAAATTATATATTTTTGTTTAATGGAAGAATTTACTCGATATTTATATAAATACAAGATGTACTTTCGTATAGAAACAATGTGAATTAAATAAAGTGTTTGGTTTGAATTTCCACTGAATGTTACCAAATAAAACATGATAATGGTTTGTGAGAGGACAGCGGCCGAAATCTTATCGTAACAATAAACAAAATGACCATACGAGTCGAGAGACGTCAGTATATAATGTAAATTGAAAAGTGTATAAATAAGATCTAACTTTCTCAGGAGAGAGGATTTATTTTTAAAAATATCTTGTATAAACGGAAAGAGGAAACACAGATAAATATTAAACCCATATTATTAGAAATTACGATCAACTCAGCCCAAAAGACGAATCCTCAGTGGACCAAATGTTTTCACTGGAATATTTATAACATTCAGTATTCTATTGAAAATGAATACTCCAGAAACGATTTGAGCTAAATGTCGTAGCTATCTAAAAACAATGAACATACATGAGACACGGTTCCCATGTGATCGCCGAAATTAACCAATGTGGAGCCAACTCAGTACTTAGATGCGTGTCCTCTTGAGAATACCAGCTGCTGTAAACTTGATTGCGCGTGTGGTTTGATGGGTAATGATTCGGAATTCTTAATCGGAGAGACGAGTTCTAATTCCCTTTCGGACCGTTCTATTCATTTACGCGCAAATGACCTCAGGAAATGTATGAGTCAATCTATTCTCCCCCATGTATGGGTTAATTAGTAAGACTTGTATCAGTAAATCAGTATTATCAGTTTTAAATAACATGGAATGGGTTAATATGCGGTAGAAAAGGAATCAGTTAATCAATGAAATATCGATTAGCTACCCAAGCATGTCTTTTAGATTTAATTACATTCTCCGCAATATAAATATATATAAATTACCGTGGCCGCAAAGTGAGGGATCCGTTTTTATAATGAATGTAATATAGAATTGATCCCCGTACTGACCGTTGTATTAATTTGCACGCAAATAACCTTAGGAAATGAATCTATCTCTTCCCCCAGCTATGGGTTAATTAGTAACACTTGTATCAGTAAACCAATGTTATTAGTATTAAATAACATGCAATGGGTTGATATGCCGTAGAAAATGAATCAATGAATGAATGAAAGATCGATTAGCTATACATGCATATCTTTTAGATTTATTTATATTCTCTACAATATAAATGTATGTACATTACCATGGCCAAAAAGTGAGGGATCCGTTTGTAGTTAATTTAATATAAAATTGATTCCCACTGCATATTCACATTTTAATTTCTTATTTGTTTATCAAATAATGATTAAGTATGAATCCACATCTTCTCCCCTCCAGCTATAGGTTAACTAGTAAGACTTCTATGAATAAAAGATTACCTCGAAAAAGAATTCTTAGGATCTGAAAATATGTTATGGCTTTAAATAGACCGCAAAAGGTTGATAAACCGTAGAAACTGAATCAATCAATCAAACAAGCTATCAAACTTTCCAAATAAATATTTTTGAGACACCAGTATCCTCACATTAAAATCCCAACATCCTGAAATAGTATAAAAGTCATTTATCCCAAACACTATAAAGTAAATACGATTACAACGATGTCTGCTGAAAATAGTAGCTACCCACATCCAACCCAAGTAAAATTCTTTGAAAGCCATGAAATCTGTCTGCGTAAGAAAGATTACAATTTTAGCTGTAGTGTAAGGAAAGACATTTTTACGATTGCCATGCTTAATAATCAAGTTTCAGAGATTTTCTCCTGTCTTATTGTTCTTGTTTCAGAATTAACCCGGGGGCCTTGTTGCGTCTGGCCTTAATTTCCCTCTGGAGGAAACAAAACAAAAAAAAGTTTTCAAAGACTTACTATTGTGTTGTTTTCTAAAGTCAAATGTCTGTTGCAGCTGGCAGACTGCAATATCGATGTTTGCCAGTCTCTGTTATTAGGAATTTTCAAAGTACAATCTGATGAAAAGTGTTGGAATATTGTAATAAATCATTCAAAATTTCTGACCTGGGATTATTTATTAAGCAAAATGCTCCGACAAAAGTTAGTTTCATATCAAGTGTAATGAAACGTTTTTATGTTGTTCGTTTAACACGAATGTCCACTACCATGTTACGTCGGTAATAGTGGAAACAGAAACATCTTTGAATATATATTCAGTCTTGTTAACATGTACTTAATATCAGTTGTCTATGGGAGCAGTGATATTTACTTGACCACCCATTGAATCAGGTTGTGACACAAGATCAGTTTTTAACGTGGGAACCGGAGTGTTTTCACTCGGCCGCTTGTCTAAGCTGGTCTTAGCTAGTCATCGCTTGTCCAAGCTGGTCTAAGCTAGTCATAGCCGTGATACCACCAGCACAGTGACGGGACCTGTGCCAGGAGCATATTGAGAAATAGCTCTTGCAGTAAGTCTGAGTTATGTATAGAGTTGTGATAACTGGTAGATTTTGCACTATAATTCTGGACGACAAATGATATTCTCAAACATATTAAATGGAAATTTGTGTACATTCAAATCAAGACAAAAAGGAATAAAGGCAAAACATTAATTGCATCACTAGTTCGCAATGAGGCTTTTGTCGCTACCAATGAATGCAGTTGGTGAGAAGAGAAAAATGTCCATTTTAGTAGCTTCTTTCAAACAGAACGGATTTCATACCATCAGTTTTTGATACAGTCACTTTTTGGTACAATCAGATTAGGGTTGAAGATAAAAAAAAAAACTTCGAAGGGTCAAATATCAAAATCATTTTCTCGAAACTACAAGTTGAATTGCACTTAATTATATAAAAAAAATATGCTAAGAAAAGACGTAAACCACGAGTAAAAGTTACCAAATTAATTTTGTTGTTTTTAGTTCCATATTAATCTTTATGGGTTATTTACTGCCAAAATCTAAATACTTTGTACGAAATATTTTTTTTGTTTTTTGAGATAATGATTTTAGTGATAGAATACTTTATTAGATAATAATGATTTAAATCATACAGTTCATACTAATTTACACATAGCTCAGGGTGAAGATGTGAATTCATAAGTTTCGCAGGGTTATTTTCGTTTAATAATATAACGGACCCAACAGAAATTAGAACTCAACTCCCCGATTAATAATTCCGAGCCACTATCGCTTAATATCACACGCACATATAACCTTAAAGCACCTGATACTCCCAAGCGTTGACCTATCTACGCACTGACCGGACGTGACATTGCTTAACTTCAGTGGTCTTACCGGAATCGGTGTTTTAATGTGATTTGAACGTAGTCCATATTAGAAAGAGTCAGTTGAATTATCCTAGATGCATTATGAAGAAATATTGCTTTGAAAATTTAATAGGCATTGGTGTATTGAAAGAAATAGGAGTAGATAACAGAGTAACACACATAACTTGCAAAGGCTGGAAAAATACATGCAACAAAGAGTCAAATGGTGCTTAGATCTACAAGTTTCAGGACGTCGTAGAGAGCTGTGATCATCCATCGTGTTTGGTCACCTTCCGAAACTTGCTTAAATTCGCTGCTAGTAAGCTAACCATATTTTAAACAGACTGTTGCCGTAAGCTATTTAGCGAATTGCAAAACGAATTGGTTCAACAGGGTTCGATTTCCAGCTGAGGTTTTTTCGTTCACTTTCACAACAATGACATTAGAGATGATACGAATATATTTTTTTTCCAAACCTTATAGCTGTGAATATCGGGCTGTCTTGTCTTGAGGTGGCAGCCAATCTAGAAGAAGACAAACCCTGAATTAAATTCCCACATAAAGAAGAGTGGTCTCCGTCAGGCTATCTTGTCCTAGATAAACCGCTATTGCTTTGCCTGCCTAACATGTAGTCGTCTATACTCTAATGGTTACAAGACTCTTGATGTGACCTTACGAGAAAATATAAGACACATAGCACAGTGGACAAAAACGTTAGTTAGATCCAGTGACAGGACCCAAAGAGTGAGAGTTCAATACCTGGTTAAGACAGCGGAGAACTTGGAGAGGTGAATTAACAGGAGATAACTGATAACTGACATCCATAAACATAGCACGTGGAACTAGAACAGTCTACCACAGCGAGCGAAATAAAGGGTTCAGTTCGATATTCAAACCATCAGAAGAAGGCCAGAGCGTACAGCGACCGAAACGTTGTGATAAATATGGCAATAAAGATGAGGATGATAATGTTACTACTGTACATAATACCACATCTAAGAAATATAGAGAGATATTGAGAAAATATTTCTTCATTGAAGGAAGGAAAAAAAAATGTCTAACGCGCTTTGAAAGATATGTCGCTAAAATAATAACAATGTTACTAAACTTGTAGTTTTGAGGGATATATATATATTTGATTCATTTAGATATCAATTTCCTTCTAACTAATTTTATAGAACAGAAAAAATTACTTATCTACCAATAACATCAGTTTGAAGACAAATAACAATTATTTCATGTATGTAATAGTTTCATTAGGCTCTTGCCTGTAACTAGGAATCAAGTAATTTCTGGTCAACTAATCCTACTTTGCCAGGCTATTTCTAGGTCAATTGATCTATGAAAGGTGATCATTAATATTTAGAGTCTGATTATTAATTTAAATCCGAGATATACTCCCATCCTTTTAATGAGTCAATAAAATAAAATTATTATTTACAGCCAGAAACACAAAATCAACTGTCAAAATGATATATTTTCTACTCAAATTATTTTCTTGTATTTTTCAAACTAATTAGCTTGACGTTTGGCACTATGGTAATATTGATATGAATATCTACACGAAAGAAAATTATTATGGAGAATTAACAATTATAAAGTATGAGGAATAATTTTGCAGAGATTCAATAAGGTTATATCAGCTTATGTGTGCTAAAGATTACCTTCATCCAGGAGTGTGTTAAACTTGAATATGTTGATTATATCACAGCTATCATGCACTGGAGAAAAACTTCGAAATTGTATGTGCATGATATTGGAAATAATAATTGGGACTGGAAAAACATTCAAACCTCTCAGAGAATAATTCCATTGAAATTATCCATTTATTTTCGTTATTCCCATACGACATGACCAAGTTGATAGAATAACACGAAATAATTTGCCAAAGCCACAATCTCTGGTATGTGATGGGAATTGTTTTCTGTGGATCCAGGAAGAAAACGAAATACATAAGACCTTCAACCACATATTAATTTAAACCGAGAATGTATGCACACATGCACGCACATGGACAACCACGGGCACTCACACACACACACACCCATTGTGACAACGGATTGTGGCTTGGATTTACGCAATGAAGAGCAGAGTTCGAATTCCAGTCTAGTTCATTACATTCACTTATGGGCAAATATGAGAATAAATAAAAGTTCAATACCGGGATGAAATAAATTGTTTTCATCAGAAGAGTACAGACATTACTAAGCAATTACTCATGATACCATCGACTAAGACATGGAGAAAAAATCCAACATGGAGATTAAATATTTGTAAAAATTCTTTCATAAATCATCGTAAAATAGACATGCTTCTATGGCAGTAAATTTCATTAGAATGTGCAGGATTGCTTAATAAAATCCAA